CTGTATGTATGTGTGTGTGTGTGACTGTGTGTGTGTGTGACTGTGTGTGTGACTGTGTGTGTGTGTGACTGTGTATGTGTGTGTGTGACTGTGTATGTGTGTGACTGTGTGTATGTGTGTGTGTGTGTGACTGTGTGTGTGTGAATGTGTGTGACTGTGTGTGTGTGTGTGTGTGTGTGTGTGTGAGTGTGTGTGTGACTCTGTGTGTGTGTGTGTATATGTGTGTATAACACAGTGCTACATGTCTTCCCACAGATCTGAAGCGGATGTCGCGGGCCTCTCTGCATGAGCTGGTGGCAGAGTACGACGCGACCACCAAGCTGCTGTCGGAGATGCTGATCACGGAGCTGGCCCTGCGCGATGAGCTGGAGTACGACAAAGAGCTCAAGAACCAGTTCATCTCTCTGCTGCTCACCATACAGAAGAAACGACGCGACTGCCACAGCGACCGCAAGAAGAAGAAGGTCAAGGCTGGCCCCGCCCCGGGCGCCACTAGCCCCACCTCGGAGGGTTCCGGAAACGTGAGTGTGAGGGTGGATGAGACCTTCCTCTTTTTTTTTCGCACCGTTGAACAGCTGGCGTAGGATTAGATTGTCTGTATGTTTGATCGTTAGAACAGCCGGTGTAGGCTTAGATTGTCTGTATGTTTGATCGTTGGAACAGCCGGTGTAGGCTTAGATTGTCTGTATGTTTGATCGTTAGAACAGCCGGTGTAGGCTTAGATTGTCTGTATGTTTGATCGTTGGAACAGCGGGCGCAGTGCTGAGGTAGATTTTCTGTACTGTCAAGCCTTGTTATACCGTCAGCCTTGTTTATTACCAGATGTACGCAGCACAGCACACATAGCAGCTAGCACAGATAGCACACAGCACACATAGCACATAACGCACAGCACAGATAGCACATAGCACACAACACAGATGGCACATAGCGCAGATAGCACACAGCACAGATAGCACACAGCACAGATAACACACAGCACAGATAGCACATAACACACAGCACACATAGCACAGAGCACAGATAGCACACAGCACACATAGCACACACACACACACACACTCCTGGCAGGACACATAGCACACACCATACACACACACACCTCGCAGCACACAACATTTCATAGC